AATTTGGGCCACGGATGAAACTCGTTTCTACTAATCCACCGCGATGCACCGTTGATCGATAGTAAATTTTTTATGAAAATGGAAAATACCATTAGAGAAAACAAACGAATTCGTACAAAATACGGGTTATTATTTTTACGTTCGAAAACGTCACGAACTTTCTCGGATGACCTAACACTTGAACCAGATTTTGCAACGTGACAAATTTCAATCACACTCTGCTTCCGAGTGGTTCGTGTGTGTTGCACACGCCTCGATGCACACTTTTCAATCATCCGACCTACGCTCTTCAACCCCTTAACGGATTCTGTAAATCCAGCCATTCGACTACCTCTTAATTAAAACAACTTTGAACGTACTTTGAATTTAATGCCCACTCGAGTAAGAATGATATTAAACGTGTGAGTCCGGCGATCGAAGAACTGTTACGTAAAAGAAAGAAGTAGGTAACGAATAATTGAGGTAACAAATAATTAATGAGGTTCGAACTAGCAACCATATGATAATTGCACGTTAAGTGGTTCAATGGAAGTAGTTATACCCTAGTATGACTCACAATAACACCAACTATTAACACTTTACTGCTCTACGATAAAATCGTGAAATGTCACGGGGATAACTTTTTATGTTCGGTTTCTTTTATAATTTTGCAGAAGGGTTACAGTAACTTTTCATTTTAGCGGGATGAAAAAGGAGCTGACGTTGCATCGTCATCGTCTAAAGACGCAAGGGACTCCTCCAGAATCGTTCATACTTGTAATAATAACGATAAACGACCGTCTCGTATTCAACTTCGTTTTGATTGTTTAATACAAGCAAAGAAGAAGGAACTGTGTTGCCAGTACGACTTAATGTCTCTACAATCTCTTGCCAAGTCGTTTTCACAGTTGTGGAAAAGTTTACTCGACGGTCTTACGGTTTCTACCGATACTTGGATGACAGTTTAAACGTAGTTTCAAAAGAAAAAGAAAAAAAAACAAACTCACCAAGAAATATGTAAAGTACAATCAACTAACAGCAAGTGGTTTCATCTTGCAACCCTTATCCTGTTCGACGACGTAATCGATAACGATTAACGTTCTCATCGATGGAGACAGGCTAATGTGGCCCAAGTGTAACGAGCAATATCGAGTTCTATGAATTACTCGTTAATCTACGATAAATCACGCCCGCTGTCGATATTCGTGCTTCGAAATTCTTAAGGAGCCATAACTCCTGCGAAAGAATAGCTGGCTGTCGGCGGTGCGCTGTCGGTCGAAAGATACAAATTGAAGAATGTGCACCAGCCACCCCTGATGGCGGTCCCGAACGCCATATGTGAGAATGGAAGTTATAAGGCGCGTGGAAACTTGCTGGTATTCAGTATTCGTATGCGGCTATGTGTATGATTTAGAGACTTTATTGAAAGAAAAAAAAAATGATTCTCACAAGATTGCGTGGAATCAAAATGTAAACGTAAACGAATATGAAATAATTTTCATGATGATTAGGTGAATAACAAATTTGAAACTTCGTGTGATTGGAAAGTAGAAAGATTGTAATAGTTGAAAGGTAAGGGACGTATTCACAACGGATTGTCTGTCTGCATTCGTATAAGTCTGAGAACGAAACGAACTGAAACTAGACTCTTCGAATAACGTTCGAATCGATTGTCGGATTTAAACGTATACGCTATCAGTCCCTCGAGTACATTTCCCATTCGAGGCTATGTTCTACGACGACGACGTAGATGTATTTACGGCACGCGAAGGTATTTTTTCCTTGTTTGCTGGAAACAACGTATCGCGAAAACGAGCCATCGAAAGTATTTTATTCAGCAACGGTGATCGATCAGAATTTATAAATTAATTGTGCGTTTCAAACATATGGTACCGGCCGAGGTCAATACCCTTCCTAACGATACTATCAAGGTATCCGCTTATAAATGTAACAAAGGTATATAAAAGCACAAAATGTGCGATGGTCAACGCGTCAATGGGTCAACGACCTACTCCTAAATACACAAAACAATTGAACAGGATCGAAGGACAGTTGTATGAATCGGAGGGACACAATTTATAGTCAACGATGCACAATTTCGCGGTAACACAATAATGATTTTCGTAGTTTTGCGAATATTACCCCGTCGATTGTTTCGATTGTCGATTGACAGTGGCTTGTCTGAACAAACGGGACGATCGTACGATAAAAACTGATCGTATTTTAATAACCCGATCCACCTGACCGAATCGAGCGTATTTCACGAAGATTAATGAATCCGAGGAAGAGTTCACGATTATTGATTCGACTCGAACGAGCGCGACTTCTTATTCAACCCCACCGTTCACGCGATCGCTTCACTATTCATACTTTGATTATCGCGTAAAAAAAAGCGCGACCAAACCGTCTTCTAAAACCCCGTGAAACGTATACTTCCGTTTACCGGCAAATTGAAAATTCTTTATTCATGAAAATACTAGAGAAAAATCGCGTCGCGACGATAAGAGACTATTCTTTGAAGTTACGACTGGTGTACTCGGTGTTAAAACGTTTAATAAAGAAGATGAAAGTGACTTATCCTCTGGTTAGATTCTGTCGTTCCCGTTTCAAACGCAGCAAAAGTATGCTTAATATCGATCAATTATGATAAAAGGACGAGCGAGGAAATGCGGGGTATATCGCGTTCATTAATTGCAGATTCCTGTATACGCTGCTTCCGTGTTTCTCGTTTAAATAAAATTTAGCACGCGCAAACGGCCGCTCCCGATGCTAATTTATGTTAATTCAATTTCCCGCCCTATGAATCCTGGCTTAATTGTATTTTAATCGAAACATACTTTTAAATTTCTCGCTCGTAGGAAACGAGACGACGTTTACACCGACGCCATTGAAAATTTCATCGACTTACTGAGAAACCACCTCTCATCTTCCCTTCGTTTATAGTTGTAAGATTAATCCTTGAACAAGATTTACAGTCCTCTGCTTTAAACACATTTTACGAAAAATTCTACCGAAAATGACGTGGATGGCGTTCGTGAAAGACAACAAAGACTGACAAAGACACTTTAAGAGATATCCTCCGGGAAAGTTGTCATCTATGACAGATTACAATATGATTCTAGACATTCATCTTGTATCTTCTACTGAATACGGTGAATGGAAACTTACAATTTTACCAAATAAGAGAAAAATTGAAAAAACATGGGAGATTTTCTCGCGGAATACCAGGCATTTATCGCGCGGGTACAATTCGCGGAGGAACAGTCTGTGTAGCGGTGAATCGTTTCTCGAAACCGACAACAGGCATTCAGAAGCATACGAGTCGCGGTTAACCGCGATTACTAATTAATTTCGAGCGGTAAGCTAGCGATTAACTCGGTGGTAGTACGATCTCGTAGATCAGGGACGCTTACGGATTGACAAATGTGTGTCAATGAATGGACACGACTACTTGAAGCGTACATTTGATTAGTCGAAAGCGCATAAAACACGTGAGATTAATAATTCCAACTCGAAGAGTCGATCCAGCAAACATTAATCCCTGTTAACAAAATTATCCAAGTACTGGAAAATTGAAGGATTTCATAAAAATATTATTCTAGTTATCATAACTGAAATCCATAAAGACGATGCTGTTAAAGGCTTTTAAATATTTCAAAACCGTTTTAAACTTTCACCACCATCGTGGTTAACTTCGCGAGATAAGACACCGCACCTTACTGTCATCCTTTATTCAGGATACGTATGCTCGTATAACGGCTCCCTCATCATCAATCACAATTAATATCAAAGCATTCTAATAACAACTGCAACTCTGGCTAACGCTTTAATCTTATCCATGTTTGATTAGCTTCGCGAATAGAAAGCGCGACGTGTCAAATAAATTGGACAGCGAGATGCATATTGCAACAACGTCGATGCATCTTCATAATCCGTAACCAACATTTATTTATGTTAATTTTCAAATAGAAAAAAGAGAGACGCGATGACTTGAGAAGATTTATCGTCACGAGTGTGACTTTTAATCAATTAATTGCCTTAACTCGATGAATTTTCAGCAGCTTTGTAAAATTACGTTCCCTTATAATCTGGGGAAAAAAGCGCGGAAAATATCACAGAATGGAAATAAACGCGAATACCGTGTCGTTCTCGAGTACGTTTTCACGATTCGACAAAAGGCTGCTTTTATTTACGTTCAACTTCGTTCCCTTATTTTCAGGAGGCGCCTCGCCGCAGTTAAACAGTGAATTGCACGCGCAATACGATGCCACTCTTTTGTGGCGGGAAGAATGTGCCGGAAGTAATCCATAAAAAATGCTACGCGTTCAATTTCACCGTGTACTCGTGTACACATTGTAGGAGTCATTGACTAGCGGACGGGCTCTCTTTTGTGCCTCGTGCCACACCACTCGAAAAGGTTAAAGTAATTTTGCGTTGGATTTCATGCGACAATCTCGTCTTCTGTTTACTTCGTACCGTACGTTTTCTTCCTCTCCTTTTATCGCGAAACAAAATTTCGTTTCGTTTATCAAGAAAGCCTTTGACACGGAATTCCTGTTTAACAAATTCCGATAATATCTGGCATGACTGCCTGGAAATAATTGACTCAACCTGTTCTCCAAATTACCAATTAACACTTTTCGATGTCATCGGTTATTGTCCGAAAGCTATTCTTAAAAACGAAATCACCGAAATAAAGCACATTGAGGATGAGTCAGCTTTTCGCGAGCGTAAAGGGAAAGTGTAATTCGTAAAGGCTAATTAAAAAACCCAGTGAGCGAACGGTGTCACAAAGGAACCGTAAAGCTCCTGTGTAACACCGAAATCTTTTCAGCGGATCTTCCTTAAAAAGCGAAATATATGTCGACGAACTCGACAAAGAACAAGACATTTCAAAAATAATGTAATAGCTCGACCGAGACGCGTCGAGTAACGATGAATTAGCACTTGGTTAAATCTCCTCGTAAACATGCAGAGTCATAGACAAAGGAAATGAAAATGAATGAAAAAATGGTACTCACCGAAAAATCCGCTGTTAGCTGCTGTCCTGAGGACGATCCGTAACAAGTAGATGTAGACAATCCATCCCCGCAGCCACCAATCCATGATGTTCACGACTTTGGCCCGGCCTGTTGCGGATGGCCCGTCGTCGATTCTAATCTAATTCGATCCACGTTGATAACGGATACAATATCGTTTTGATAATCGTGCGTTCGTCCCTTTTCCCTTGTCCCTCGCAAAATTCGATCTCACGCTGGTGGTTCGTCTCTCTTCCCTTCGTCTGGCGGGAAACGATCCGAGGCAGATCATCGAAATCGTGATGGCTCGCAACGATAACTGGACAGCTGTTATTATTCACGTGTTTCACTCGCGACGTTGATATGAAAACCGAGTAGCATCGCGAACGAAACAGAACGAAAATATCGTTGACGATTTCACGTGACACAACAGGCAAGTTTCGTTACACTACTTACGGCCGGACGGGTAAACAACGAATAGACTCGGGGATCGACGAACGTCGTGTTTACGGACCCCACGGAGTCACAACAATTCGCGAACGACCGAGTTTACGCGAGAGAACCGAGCGTATCTCTGTGTTAACCGAATCGCGACCGATCAAATACTAAACCCGTGCGCTCTGCCGTCGACTTCTCGAGCCCTCGCGTCCCCCCACCCCTCCTCCGTGGCCGCGCAACCACCGTTCACTACCCTTGTTGTGTTCTTCTCCCGATCGACCCCTGTGTCGCGAAACCTCGTTCGGTCACTTGTCGTTTACGTTTACGTTCCACTGGATAAACTTCTCTCCTCCTACTCCACCTCCTACTTCTCCTCCTCTCCTCTCTTCCTTCTAATCTTCGTCCTCGATGCCTTATCGGCAAGGCGGAAGCAGATAAGGAGAATCGGCTCTTTTACAGGAAACGACGTTCGCCCTGCTATTTCTGGAGCGAACGGCGCAGCCCGAGCGATGCATGGTTGGCGTGCACCGGTCACCGGGCTGCCACCGAGCGCAATTAATCAAGCTTTCAAGCGGTTTCTTGCAAGATCGTCTTCGTTGCAACGATCCACGGAAACGAGCCTCTTCGCTAGAAGCTTCTTCCACCTTTGAAAATCCTCTTAGGCAGCCAGGGACTCCGAGATTCCCGGGTGCAATCTTTCAAATCGACGACGAACGAAACGAACGATCGGTAATACCTTGCTCCGCTTTCACACTGCTTTTTCACACTTTGATCTTAACGAAGGAGTTCGATGACACTGTACGGAAAACGGTTATCACACGCATCATTAAAAAGTACACGTATGTACATATCGAGAACTGGATATTAGGAGACATAAAAGAGTCGGTTCACAATACCGAGAGGTTCTTAAATGATCTTCACGACCCACAAGCGAATCGACAAAGTACGTTCGAGTCGAAGCTCGAATAGAACATCCATCCCCGTTGTTTGCCTCTTTTCTCTCGTCAAAGACGAGCGAATTTCACAGACGGTCCAAGAACACCGGGAAGAAGAAAGCTCGCCGGACTGTTAGTCGAGGTTTCACGCCATCCTTTTCCCGAAAATAGAACAAGAATCTTCAGGCTGGTACGCGTTACGACCGCTCACTGTCCGTGGAAAAGTTTCTATAACCACCAGAGCGAAGAAGTTTCCACGGGCAACCACTTTTTCGTGGTCTGACTTTTCGTTCCGCGTCAAAGGTGAAACACAATCGAAATTGTTACGTTCATCCCGTTTCTCTTTTTCAATATCGAACAACTGCATCCAAGGTTGTCTTCGTGTATGCTTCTGGCGTTTCTATGAAATTCCTTCCGGATCCAGGATGTTCGAAGTCGATGAGGAAGCAGGTGGTTGCACCTGCCCAGCACTCGTCGGTGCGTTGATGTTGCGAACAGGATGTTGCGCGCACTGGTCCTTCGATCGGCGCCGCCATACGTTCGCCGCGTAAACACTGAAATGAAAGCAGAAAGAGACTAGTAGCTGGTGCGAAGAAGTTGGCTGGCGAACGTTCGCCAAAGAGGAGAAAGGAGGAGATAAGGGTGATACGGGTGAGAGAGAAGGAAAGGAGATAACTCGCGACTGGATTCGCGAGTAACGAGAAGGAGAAAAAGAACAAGAGAGGGCAAAGTCGAAGAGTCGAGCCGGTCTGAGGACCGGTTTCCTCGCAACAGATCGCAACTGGCCAATTGGAAATACCACTGACAATGAGTTCCCTGCTCGGACTCTCTTTACGATCCCGAGAGTCTGCCCTGAGACTCTGGTGGATCCAGTTCCAGCCGCTGGATTCAAGAATTTTATCAATCCGGTCTGGAGCAAGTTCTACCTCGACGTAATCATGGGTCGCGAGTGCTCAAGGTCGCGAAAGAACCGGGCAAATCGCAAGCTTCGATCCACTGGTGCTGCATGAAAGACTATCATGGGAATTTCATTGGTAAAAGGTGATGAAAAACGTGAAACGATGGGAAAACGTTTCAGTAGCGACACAATGAGAATCGACAAAGAGCCAGAGACACAAAGGACAAAGAACGAAGACGATATCGAGAATGTCGAAACGATTTAGTAACTCCTTCGACGAGTCAGAGCTCGCAGAACAATTTTATTTTAATTGGAAACCCTCGTTCGTCGACGAACAATCGTGTGGCTGTTACGTTCAAGGTTCATTGTTCCCTCGATCGACAACGACAAACGTGGATACATTTTTTACAAGGTCCGAGGGACAGATATCGGTGCGACGTTTACATTTTTCCCGGGAGGAATCGCCGCGGGACGAACGAGCGAAGCAACGCCATCGTTCTATGCGAACTGTCCAATTTTCGCTTCGAAATGACACTGACGATGCATAAATTTTGCATTTCCTTTCTCCCTTGTTTTTTCCTGAATTTTTTCTGAATCATCCCCTGAAAATATTGCACCGTGGTCAACAAGCGCGATCAACCAACGTCGCACGAGCATCGCGAGTATTATTATTGATGTTCCGTTGGCAAATATTACCGGTTCGATTAATAAACATGGCTGGCGACGCGGTTAATAATTTCACTGCTGCCTCTGGGAATACGAGAAAAAGCCTTTGCGGACGTGTCTTTTCTGCTATCGTCACGGAACGTGGATTCGCGCGAGGTAAAAATGATCGATATTTTGGATCGAAGCGATCAAAGTCGAGGCAAGTAGACTGATGTACGTTTGTCGCGTTAAACGAAACTCACCGATCAAAAATGGCCAGTCGGATATTGCATACCGTGCAGCAGTTTCGCGGTCAAAGGATCGAAATATTAATTTGAGGGATGAAAGGTGGAACATCGCGATCCTGTACGATTCACACTTTCAGCGAACAGAAAATAAGCGATACCTTACAATAGAATGTATCAGTGGGAATGAAAGAAAAAAGGACAAAAGTGGAGTCATCCTCTTTTAAGATCATATGGAAAACATGTTCGAAAAGGAGAGCAGTATTTTTCATCGGATCGTGCACGGATAATTTCTCGTTCGAGTGGAACACCAACGTTCCATCGGTCGGTCGTCTCCACCGGAAAAATTCTCTCTCCCCGTTCTATCGTCTATGGTCTCGTACCTTCCGATCTTCGTCCAGTTTCTGGCGCGAAGACGGCAAAGTTACGGGTCAAAGGAACAGGGAGATGTTGAAGATCGCGAAACACGCGCGTGATCCTCTCCCGAGCGTTCTTTAGCCGTCTCTCGTCACGTCCAGCGAGCGGACGCGATGTCACGCGACGACGTCAGACGTCGATGACCGGTCGCAATCCTCGCGATGACCCACCGCAACTTTTGATCCCGATTTTACATTTGATTCGTGTCCCGAACCGATTACGATCCGATCATACGTGTCACGCTGCGAATCGTCTTGATCATCGTGCGTGTGTCGTCGATCGGTTTCGTACGGAGCAAAGAGACAGAGAGTGTCAAAGAGGAAGAGAGTAGAGTGTCGCGACGCTGCACGTCCCACAGAATCACGATCCGCACTGGTACGCCATCGAGCGTTAGGGAAACTTCAGCAACCCTCCGACATCCTTCCCCCCACTATTTCAACCACCACCACCAGCGTTCTCCACTACCACCGCTTCCAGATCCACCACTACCACCAACGTCGCTCCATGTCAGTGCTACCAACACACACCAGCAGACCAACTGGGAACGTATACGAGACACGATACTCGTGCCAGCAGCACCGGTTCGGTTCTCCAGCGACAGACTTCGCGCGCACGCTGCTATCAACCCCTGGTGTCAGTGTGCGCGAGCGCACCAGGCACCACTCATCCCCCACCGGCTTTCTCGATTTTAACCCCCCTCCTCCTTCCCTGATTTTTCTTCACCCTTTTCCTTCCTCCCTTCCACCTCCTTTTTTCAATCCACCAACCTTCCAACCTTCTCACCCCTTCGGCCCCCTTTTTCAGATTACACCACGCTGCATCACGATTTCGTGATTTCGACGAAAACATTGTCGAATGGATTGCTCGGAACGCGATGTGTACCTCGAGGATACCGCGAGCGTTTCGAGGAAGTCCGTTCGAAGAATCCAGACGCGATCAACGCCCGGCAAAGCGGATAAAACGTACGGCTCGATCAACGCGAAGGAAATTCCGAACGATCTCGGTTCTTTCGAAATATTTTTCCCTGGAAAATATCGACGCGTCCCGAAGAGGTACCGTTCGAAGTTTCCCTTTGATTTCCGTTCGAGTGAGAAACCTAGGAAGGATGAATCAGATTTCAGTCGGGAGTTAATTCCCTGGACAAAAGAGTCGACTTTCTTTTGTGCATTGTTTCCTTCTGTATCTCCGAGCAAGAATCTCGATATTGAATTATTAATAAACGTGCAATATTTTTCTTCCTTTCAGAAGTTTATTTATTAGCAGAATTGTTTTATTTGAAAATAATCTTGTGGGAGTTTAATGAATTTAAATCGCTTGTCCTTTCTTGAATGAAATTGTCGGCAACGTATTAAGAAAAAAATACGTCGTTAAATCATAATCAAAATATGTCATTCTCAATAAACGCCATTAACATCGTTCTCAATGAACTGCAGTTCCTTTTTAATTTCTTTCGCGCTACGTTGTCAGGTTGAGCTTGAAAATATTTCCTCGTATAATTTAAATGGATCCGAAAGAAAGCAGAACGGTTCCGCGATTAAATTGAACGCGAAACATTCTCGCTTTGTTTGTTTCGTAAAAGACACTCGTTCGCGAATCAATCCGGCTATTATTTAATCGCCCGATTTTTCTTTCTCCTCTTGCAAAGTCGATTACGGATTACCTTTCGTTATTTAATCAGCGAACAATCTCTGCAGGATGTGCAATCCTATCGCATTTAATTCGCGTTGATTCGCGATTATGCAAGAACTATTAACCGTTTGTTTATTTTCTACGAGCGAGGCCAAAAAAGTTTCGAGATTCTTTTTTTCCCACGAACGAGAACGCGAAATCGATTTGAAAAGAAAACGACTGCGTTCGCCAATTGTTTGTAGATCGAAATTGAAATCGGAAGTTCCCAAATACACGCCACGATTTTGATTTATACAGAGGGATTGAGAGCCGTTTCGCAAACATTCAGCTATCTATGCGAACACGTTGCGTTTGGATTTTTCGCACGTTTGAAATTCAGACTTTAAATTAGGCGGCTAATTGCAAAAGATTTTTATTTAGCCTTCAGACTCTTCATCTTTCAAAGTCTGCCATTTTGTATGCGACAATTTAATACGACGGAGCTGGAGATTCTAGAAAAAGCTGGTCCAAAGGCTAATATCTGACGTTAAAAAATTACTTGACAATCTTTTGAACGATACATGGCGTACAGGGTACAAAGGAACTTTTTCTTTGGCAAGGAACACGCCATCGAAGCAGGCACTTTTTCATTGTTGAACGTCGTTAAATTTTCACCAGATCCGACTAGAAGCAATTCTGATCGAATTCTAGAGCGGTTCGTTTAAAAACGATGAATCGATCGTGAAAAAATTACAAGGATCGGTAAATCTCGTTGCTGATAACGAATTTCTACAATTGATTAGAGAAAATATATCTTATTGCGTTCGGTTGTTATCAATTCTCGTACGTTTCACAATAACGCGTTATTTTCTTGAAAAATATCGAGCTTCGTTCGAAAATATTAAACGCAAACAGCAGTGAACGCGCAATCGGACGATGCGTCGGTAACAAACACCTAGCCCGACTTTCCGAATATTGCCAAACAAAAACTGAGCGAACGGTAAACGAGCTTGTGTAATAAAACGGAATAATAACGACAAGCGATATCCTTGCTAACAGGTTAACTGCTATTGAAATGCTCGACAATAGCGTTCACTACCGATCGTTTTTTAATATTGATATTTCATTTTCAACAGACATTGTTTCTTGCGAGTACGTATAGAATTTTTATAACACTATGTTTTGAAAGAACAGTATTGATTTGAACCCTTATGCGAGTAATTGGATTTTCTTCAAATTCACTAAATGCAAATGATATAATACATAGGTACATCATTACAAGTTTAAACAACCCTTTTGCTACTGATAACATAAATTAAACCCTGTTGTTCTGCGACGTAGGGTAGACGGTGAAGTTGAATCAAGCTTCTAGGAATCCGATGATGAGACTACATGGAAGCTATAACCTCTGGAATGTTACGTTAAACGAAATAACGAACCGACAAATTTCACATTGGTATTCCTCAGTTTTCTGGAATTTTTGACTCGACGTGATTCAGTAAAAAAAAAAAATTTATTCTATGAGTTCCAAGTGAATTAAAATAAACTCTGCCTAGCATGGCCAAGTTCGTTTATGCGAATTTGCGAAAACGACCAAACGACAGGGAAGCATGATCGTTGGATACCTGGGAGGTTATCGAAAGAATAAAACGAAAGCGATTCGTACGCGATTGGAGAACGTATCGCGAAGTTGGAAGAAGAGCCGTGACTGGGAAAATTGGAAGTACGCT